AAGTCGGCGAAGCAGTATCTCGAGGGTGAATGTCAGTCGAGCGTAGCAGCACTGCAAGAGATCACTGTTGAACCGAGCGAGCTGCAGGAGCGTGAACAAACACTGAGAGGTATAGGGTGGCATGCCAGCCTATCACCGTCCGTGGTTACAGATGCAGGAGGGCTTTCGTCAGGGGTGGCGGTGGCCTGCAGGAAGCACATAGGTCTTGGGATGCCTCCGACAGCAGTTCGAGACCTTCCTGCACCGCATCGGCAATCACTACGATGGGTCAATACGTTTGTTCCAGGCGGATTTATACTAGGTTCGGTTTATCTTCCCGACGCTGATCCGCTAGGACCTGAAGGGAGTCGAATTCTCAGTCGTCTAGGAGAACGCCTCCATAGTTGGGGGTTGCCGTTCTTCCTAGGGGGGGACTGGAATGTTTCACCTGAGGTGTTCAAGGAGATGGGGTGGGCTGGAAAACTCGGGGGCCAGGTCATCCACCCAACCACCTACACGTGTAAGTCGACAGCCAAGGTTTGGAGGACAATCGACTATTTTGTGATGTCGGCAGGTCTAGCGGCGAATGTTCACTCGTGCCATATCAATAGGAAGGCGACCACCAAGCCGCATTGGCCTGTCGTTGTGCAGTTTAAGGGCAAGCCGATGGAGCACCTCGTTCGGGTGCTCAAAAAGCCTGCCGCGTTCCCCAATGAGGTAGTCATTGGCCCGATGCAGGAGCCCCGCGACTACCGCCAGCTGCTGGCACAGGCGAGGCAGCGTGGTGACAGAGAGGCTCTGGACAGTTGTTTTACTGAGTTTATGGGGTTTCTTGAGGCGGAGCTGGGTGAGTATCACGGGGTCTCGGATCAGAAGAAGTACTTTGGACGGTCCAGGGAGCCCGAGTTCAGGATGGTTCCTGCTTTGAAGACCTCAGGAGGCAAGTATCCAGTAGGCTGCCCACGAAGCAGAGGATGGAGGAGAGTTGAGATTTGGTTCCAGGAGCTCGTGTACCTCAGGACTAGTTCTTCGGAGTGGGGGAAGGCTAGCACCATGGGGATCCTGGGGCAGATGCGGCGGGGTCCACACCAGCTTCGTGAGCAGCAGGATTGGGAAGGCTGGAGGCCTTCTCGAGAGCAGTTGATGAACGCGGATATCGAGCAGCTTCGACGCTGGAGCGAAGAGGCTGGCAAGGTTTCAATTTCACTGGAGAGATCGTTTGCATCTGAACGGTCCAAGCAGTGGCGCGAGTGGGTTAAGCAAGCAGTGGCCAACGGAGGGGGCCAAGCCCACAAGTACAGCCAGGTTCCCATAGGTTGGATCCCTGAAGCCCCTGCAGGAGCCAAGAAGTCGGACGCCCCGAGAGTGCCCATGGGTCCGCAGGAGCAGGTGGACGACTTGTACGGTTATTGGCTTGGACATTGGGCCCCTCCTGAGGCTGCTAGGAGTCTTCCTGACCCCATCGAGTACCTCACGAGCGAGATAAACAAGCAAGCGCAGGAGCAGGGTTGCAGGATGGAGGATCTGGTGGGCCCCCCGAAGACCCCCAGTGAGATCAGAGCTGCAGCGAGGAGGTTTAAGCGTTTCACGGCGTGCGGGATCGACATGCTCAGGCCCAGGGACCTTGTCAAGGCCACAGATGGGATCCTCGAGGTGCTTGGTGAGCTCTGGGTCTGGATGGAGTGTCTTGGGACGTACCCCACCCTGATGCTGACCACGGTCCTCGCGATGCTAGGTAAGCCCGAAGGAGGTTTTCGACCGATAGGCCTGCTCCCAACCCCTGTCCGTGTTTTCTCGAAGTTGGATCGACCTGAGATCCGCGCGTGGGAGGCCTCGGTCAAGAGGCCCTACAGGTACGGGATTTCGGGAAGGAGTTGCGAGAGAGCGGTGTGGGAGCAGAGCCTAGTGGTTGAGCAGCACATCAGTGCAGGAGGCTGCTCGGCATGTGGGCTCGTGGACCTGACCAAGGCATACGAGAAGGTGAACCATTACCTTCTCGCACGAGCCGCAGTCAAGCATAGGTATAATCTGATCCGTCTGCGTTTGAAGCTGTCCTTGTATCGAGGCAAGCGGATCATCAGCATCTTAGGAGTGTGCGCATTAGTGGCAGAAGTTGACCAGGGTATTCTTGCAGGCTGCGGGGAAGCGACCAGTTTGCTCAGCTGCCTGCTGCTGGACCCCTTGGATTCGACATGCGAACACTTTGGCAGCATTGGCATATACAACGTCGTTGATGATATCACGTTAAAGTCGTCTGGCCACCCGTCGCAAGTGGAAGTCAGGCTGCCGAAGGCGATCTTTTACTTGTGCACGCTGCTTGAGCGGCTGCTGTTAGTGATCTCACAGTCCAAGGGCCTCGTGCTGAGCACCCACGCGAGCACGCGGCAGGTCATAGTCAGTAAGCTTCGGAAGTGGAACTTCGAGGGGGCGCTTTCAGGAAGGAATCTAGGGTGTGACCGCACGATGGCTGCCAAGGGGACCCGTGGTTCCAAGGTGTTACAAGCCAGGCTGAGGCGCCTCAAGGGGCGCAGTGGAAGGATCCGCGGACTCAGGAGCTCTAGCACAGGTATGATGCGGGTGGCCCGTTCTGGGGGACTTGCAGCTACCACGTATGGGGCGAGAGTCAACGGGGTGGCCACCACTAAGCTTCAGCAGATAAGGAGTGCGGTAGGAGCTGCTGTGTTTGGGACTCCCAAGGGCAGGAGCAGGACTCTGGAGTTTCTTCTCAGCGAGGAGCCCAAGGGAGACCCAGCATTCGACGCGAACCTGTTACCGCCCCTCATGTGGGGTCAGGCGGTCAGGAACAAGTGGGTGGAGCCCAAGGCGATGCAGCAGAGTTTCCAGTTGTTCAAGAACAAGCAGGATTTCGACTGGAGCCAGGTGCGAGGTCCTGCAGGTGCGGTCGTCTTGACCCTTAGGCGGATAGGCTTGGAACCGAGGGCCTGGAACCTGTTCGTCACCAACTCGGGGTTAGAGATTGACTTGGAGTATCTTGGAGGGCGTTCTCTGAAAATGGTTCTGGAGAGGTTCGTTCGGGAACGCCTTGTCAGAAGCCTTGGGGACGGTCGCGTGGAAGGTCTCGACGAGGGGCCGCTGCTGGAACCAGTCATCGAAGTGCTCGGGGACCTCAGGGCCAAGGGCAGGTGGCAGGCGGCAGCGGGGCTCGCGGGAGTGGTCGCAGGCGGGTATCAGACCCAGGATAAGCTGTACCAGGACAGGCGTGTTTTGGACAACAAGTGCATGCTGTGCCAAGGAGAAGTAGGTTCTGCATTACACAGGTTTCGATGCCCAGCCCATCAGCCACGAATTCGAGATCTCGGAGTCCAAGAGTTGTTGGACACGCCGGTGCTGCCAGGAACGGAGGCGCTCCACACGAGGGCGCTCTTTCCAAGTGTCGAGTGGGCTTGGGCCATGCCGCGCCAGCGGGCAGGATTTCGGTGGGGCGTGGTACCGCCGAACGGGGTGCTCGACCAAAGAGTGTGTCTAGACGGATCAGGATATGACCAAGATCAGCCTTCTCTAGCCCGCGCAGGGTGGGCGGTGGTCACTGTCACGGCCAGCGGGCACATCATTGGCTCGGCGTACGGGCCCCTGCCGCACATCGTACAGCTCGCGGGGGCACGGGGGGTGCACGCCTTCCTCATGGCGATTCGGTTGGCGGGCCCGCTAGGGCTCGATGTGATCACGGATTGCAAGATGGTGGAGGATATATGGGGGTTCGGGCCTGAGCAGAACCTGGAGGACGTAGCATATTCAGAGCTTTGGAGGGAAATATTTCGGCTGGCAGGGGATCTCGGACGTGATCTGATTTCGGTACGTAGGGTTAGGTCTCACCTCTCCCTCGGTCAGGCCCGTAGGCAGGGGGTGTGTGAGTGGGAGTGGAGAGGCAACAAGCGGGCAGACGAGCTCGCCAAGCTTGGGGCCCAGGCTCACCCCACCAACCCCTCGGTCAAGGCTCAGCTTAAACACAGTTTTAATCTAGTCAAACAGTCGGCCTGGTTGATTGCCGAGGTCATGAGTGACCTCTCGGTTAAGAATTTCCCAGATGTGGCGCGTGTGCACAGGCCTCGTCGGCCCAAGCCACAGCAGCTGCAGTTGATTCCAGAGCCCAATGGGCATTTAATTGAGAAGTCTGGCAAGCAATACAGATGTGCGACGTGCGGCGAGAGAGGCCGCTCGAGAGCGCACATCTCTTTGACGCCTTGCGGCGGTCCACCGAGAGTTGCGAGGACGGCGCACCAGAGTCACAGGCTCTGACTGGGGGGGGGGCGGGTGGCCTGGTGCGTGCGTTGCGGCGTGTTTGGGTCCGCTCGGTCTCGGCTCCTTGGGACTCGATGTGAAGGGGGCCCTCGCAACCGTGACGCCGCGAATGGTCTCAGAATGCTCAGGAATGGAGTGGACCCCAGCTCGAAGACGAGCTTTGGGAGGTCTGTTCCGCTCAGATGGCAGGTTCAAACAGGTTGGTCGTCCGCACCTGTCTGAGCCCCATCTTCCAACACTTGCCTTTCTGCACTGTGTTTCTGGGCTGCCTTATCGCTCAGCGGTAACGGACAGCTAATGAGCCAATAGGAGCCAATAGGAGGAGGAGGAGGAGGAGGAGGAGGAGGAGGAGGAGGCGAGGGAGGAGGAGTAGATAAGAGGGAGGAGTGGTGGAAGGAGAAGATGGATGAGGGAGGGAGGGAGGGAGGGAGGGAGGGAGGAGGGAGGGAGGGAGGGAGGGAGGAGGAGGAGGAGGAGGAGGAGGAGGAGGAGGAGGAGGAGGAGGAGGAGGAGGAGGATCAACAGCAACAGCAGGAAGAGCAAGAGAAGCAAGAGGACGAGGGGGAGGATCAGGGAGGGAATGGAGCAGCAGCAGGAGGAGGAGGAGGGGGAAAGGGGAGAACGAGGAAGGGGGGAGGACCGAAGCCGCTTCCAGAGGTTTCAAGGGTACGCCTGTGCGGGCCAGGGGACTGGGACCCCGTGGGGGGTACACGGCGCGGGACGACCGTTGGTGCCCGCGCTGCGGCGGCCCGGCCGGGCAG